GAGAAGAAGATGGACTATTGTCCACCCTAGGAGAGGTCGTCCGGAGAAGAACAACTCCCTATTGTATGTGGTTACAAGAAACCCTCCTAGGTGGTTCAGTGCATGGGAAGCAGTTATTCGAAAGCAGTCTCTCAGACATCTGGGATGGAGGGACTGAGCCTCTCACTGCTGGCACGTGTCACCGATGTGCACACAAGCAGCTTGTATTAGGCCTCCTTCTGGCCAGAATGAGCAGCTCCTGATAAGGTGATGAGGATTATAGAGATGAAAAGCAGGTGGGAAGCAGGTGGGATGCAGGTGCTGAGGCAGACATCAGAACCAAGGTCCTCAGTCAGTGTGAGGAAGACACCAGAACTGAGGTCCTCAGTCAATGTAAGGAAGCCATCGTTTCCAACTTGGGCTGCATCATACGAACTGTGGGGTGTTTTAAAAGAGTCACACCCATGACCAACCAAATCGAAATATCCAGGAGCAGGACCACGACATCTATATTTTTAAATCACCAGAGGATACCAAAGTGCAGGCAAAATTAAGAACTGGTGGCTTGGAGTTGACGTCTAAGACAAGGAAAGAGAGAGGCAGCTGAGGCCAGGCAGGACGCAGGAATGCAGGAAAGAGGTTAGGTTGGTCAGCAGTGATCCAAGGAGATACACATTTTTAAACAAATCTGACCATTAATGTATTTCTTTTTTCACTGCTTGATACAATTACATGATTCCCAGCATTGGATTAAGCATTCTTAGAATAAGGCCTGTAAGCTTTAAATACAAAGCTTAGGTAATTGATAAAACCTCACAACTCTAGAATATTGCAATATTTCAGCACCATTGTATGTTTAATACATATGTTGTGATTTATTTTACATATGCTGTTTTAAAGGATTTGTATTATTTTTGCATGGAGTGCTCCAGAACTTCATTGCCGGCATATTCCTCCCCTAGAACCTAGTCCTGCCCTTGGTTGCCCAGCTGTGCAGGTAGAAGGCAGGACCACAGTCTGGTGGCTCTGTAAGAAGATTACAGAGCCAGCTCAACAGGAAAGTCTGAGGCAACAGGACATGCAGCCAGCTCATGCTGCTGCCCCTACTGGGACCCTGTACTGAACTTTAGTCCTTTGATCAGGCAGATAAAAATGACTGTACCCTGAGAACCTGTAATTTGGTGGGAATTCTGCTTCCCCATATCAATCACTACCTCTCTCTGCTCTTTTGGGATGAAACTGGTCTGTAATCCTAAAGTGCATCTCTGTACAAAGGACTAGAAAAAATGAATGTACTTTATTATAAAAATAGTTTTTCATCAAATCAATATGGATAAACCAACTCCTTACTTTGGGTGTTAGAATTCTTTCACGAGGGCTTTATACTTGGTAGTTTCTTTGGCTTCTTCTATTCTAAAGCCTCTGCATTGGCATATTTAAATTCAGGATGGCATACAACTTAACACTGGTCACAGCTCAATGTTTAACTGTTATTTCTTTTTTTCTCTCTTTACCCATTCTATGTCTAGAAACATTTGCTATGGAAGTAAACAATATTAAGAGTGTGGATTGGATTTTCTTAATTTGTCAGGACACAATCTGTGATATATGTTCCTGAGTGTTTAAAATTTCCAGGAAATTTCAGTTGGCACCATGTTATCATTGTTATCCACAGGTTATTATATTATTTCTGTTTAAAGTTACCCATGTTTATTATTCCTTGTCTACTTATGTAAAGAAAATTGGCTGCAAGGAGAAACAGAGGATTTAGAAGTCAGTTGGGTGGCAAACATCTACTAGATCTAAGGGAGGAGACCACCCCTCATATTGTCTTATGCCCAATTTCTGCCTCCAAAGAAAGAAGAAGTAAAAACTAAAAGGCAGAAGTGAAATTCACAGGCAGACAGCCCAGCACCACACCCTGGGCTTGGCAGTTAAAGATCGAGCCCTGACCTGATCAGTTATGTTATCTATAGATTACAGATGTTGTATGGAAAAGCACTGTGAAAATGCTTGTCCTGTTCTGTTCTATTCTAATTACCGGTGCATGCAGCCCCCAGTCATGTACCCTCTGCTTGCTCAATTGATCATGACGCTCTCACGCAGACTCCCTTAGAGTTGTAAGCCCTTAAGAGGGACAGGAATTGCTCACCCGGAGAGCTCAGTTTTTGAGACGTGAGTCTTGCTGATGCTCCTGGCCAAATAAAGCCCTTCCTTTCTTTAACTCAGTGTCTGAGGAGTTTTGCCTGTGGCTGGTCCTGCTACAGATCCAGAAATTGGTGGAAACATTTTTTTCCCAATATGGAAAATAAGAATCACTTTAATTTCTGTAGGATGGCTATAATTTTGGCAAAGGTGAATAGTGCTATAAACGTGGCAATATTTTAGATAATTATATTCTTATTTTTATCAAAATTATACATGTACATGTTTTAAACAACCAGATAATTTTACAAGACTTATGAAATAGTCTGTTGATTAAAAAATATCTGTATAATATGTAAAGAGGTTTATTCTGAGGCAATATGAGTGAGTATAGCTCTCAAGAGGTCCTGAGATAGTGTGCCTGAGGTAACTGGGTTACAATTTGATTTTATACAACTTAGGGAGACATGAATTATAGATAAAATCATGAATAAATACATGGAAGGAATGTATTGGTTCAAGTTTGGAGGTGAGATATCTTCAAGGGGGATGGCTACAGGTCATAGGTGGATTCAAAGATTTTCTGATTGGTAATTGCTTGAAAGAGTTAAGTTTTGTCTAAAGAGACTTGAAGTCAGTAGAAAGGAATGCTTGATTTAAGATAGGGGGTTTGTGGAGGCCAAGTTTCTTGTTAAGCAGAAGAAGCCTCATTGGTAGCAGCCTTCAGAGAGTATAGGTGGCAAATGTCTCTTTTCAGATGTTAAAAGCGTCAGCCTCTCATTTAATCTCATTTAATCTCTCCTAGATCTGGAAAAGTTCTAGAATGGTATGGCCTGGCTGCATTAATGGCAATGTTCTAAAGACAGTTTTGCAAGGTCATTTCGAAATATATAAAAGAAACAAATGTCAGGGTAAAATATTTTTATATTTGGGGTCTGCTATTGAAGCAGCCTCATTGTCTAGTGTAACACCTGAGATTTGTTGTCTTACAGCCATGGAGAATAAACACTGACACAGAAAGTGTGAGGTTGACAGCAGAATTTTAACAGCAAGAGAAAGAAAATAGCCCTCTGCTACAGAGAGTTGTGCTGGAAAAATGGCTTGCTGGTTCTGTGGTGAAATGCCTGCCATTTTATCAATGAGCTAGTGAAGAGGTGGTGTGTGATTTATATATGCCATGAAGAAAGTGGTTAGATCATGTGTTTTATTTTCACAAGGCACAATCTCTAGTACCTCCCACCCTAAACATTTATTATGCAGGCGGGTCTCTGCCTCAGCTGCACCATGTTGACTATTTTTTTTCTTACTGAACACATGGTAATAAAAAAAAAAAGGAAGCTGGAGCCTCCATGTTAGACATGGCTGGCCCCTAGCTAGCCTTTTTCTGTTGGTGCAGCTGCTGTCATTCTCCAGTGTAAGCTTCCAGCTTGCTTATGTAAGTTTGTAGCTTGATATTTTAGGCTGCTTTTTGTTAGAAAAAAAACAATGTTGTGAGTCACTTTTTGTCAGAAAAGAAATTCTGTGGAGGACTCTTTTCCCCTTACTATCTGTGTAAATAATTTCTTTCTACCTCTGTATCATATTTCCCCCTCAGGAGTGTAAATCCTAACTGCTGTTATGATGACTCTTTCTGACTACTTCCTGCTGGAGAGGAGCGCTGTGTAGGTAACAGCAGCTAAGGCTCATCCTGGGGTTGATCAAAGGGTCCTTGAAAGAAAGTCATGTCCATGTGTGGTTCCATCTGCAGCACTATTTGGAGTTTAATAGCTTCTAGGTGAAAAGAAGAAGGTTTTGAATATAGGGTTCAGATATGAATATTAGGATTACCACAATTAGTGGGGGTACTATAGGACACAACCATTGCAGAAGAGTTTGATACCTGTTAGCCATTCTGAAGGGTTGTAATACTGGTTTGACTCCACCAGATGTCGCTGTACTTTACCAGAAGCATTGATATAAAAGCAATTTTTTTTTTTTTTGATAAGTGGCATTGGACTGGGTGAATAGAGTAACTTTAGTGTTAACTTTGGCTAATCATTTCTATAATTATTAGTTCTACCATAAAGGTGGAAATTAGGCAGAATATTACAGCAATTAGAATTTTCCTTCTGGAATTTGACATTGCATGAGGCAAAGTGCATAGTCCTTCTGCAAATAGTAGAGTGAGTATAGTAACTTCCTCAAGTATGGTTCAGTAAATAATTTTCATCTAAAATTTTACTCGTGAAGATATAGACTTTCCCTTTGGGTGTCTATAAAGTCACAAATGTAATCCCATGGATAATCAAAATGTCCCTGAAAGTATGCATGAAAAAGAAGTTCTAATATCTAATGGTGAATCTTGATAGGAAAGGTAGAAATGACTGAAAGTATCTGGCAAGGTAGGGGTTAGACTGAGTAGGACAAGTAGCTCTCACTCATTTACTTATCTTTTATGGTTTTCAGCTAATGATCCCCTCTCTCTTCACATTGATATCCACAATATTCCTCTGGGCCATCCAGGGCTGCTCCCTCAGCTTTCCAAGATTTGACTCGATTGTAACATATACAGAAGTTAATTTCTGTAAATTTTACTGCTGATGAGGTTGAAAGAAAAGTGTAAGGCCCTTCCCAGTTTGGGTTTAGGGAAGAAGATAGGGAGAGGAGAGCCTTTATCAATACCAAATCTCCTGGTTTAATAAAAGGTTCTTCTATTTCTTGTGGCTGGACTTCTGCTACTTGTATTAATTCCTGTTAGAAGTGAGCTAGGGAGGTTGCATGCTTAACCAATTCAGAGGCCTCTTGGTCTACTGGAAAATCATTTGTAAGGAAAGGCCATCCATATAGCATTTCAAAAGGGCCCACACCTACTTTGAAGGGGTATTTCTTACCTGCAGTAAAATCATGGGAAGAAGATTGACCCAAGGATGATGAGCTTCTTTGGACAGTTTTCTGAGGTGTCTCTGATGATATCATTTGTCTTCTCTACCTTTCCTGAGGACCGGGATCTCCTAGCACAATAGAAATGGTACTGTCTGACTAGTGCCTTTGAGACCCCATGTGTGATGGCTGCCTGAAACAAGGGGCTGTTGTCACTTTGGAGGTACTTAGGTAGACCAAAGTGGGGAGTTATTTCATTAACTAATACTTTCATTACCTTAGAGGCCTTTTCTGTACAGCATGGAAATGCTTCTACCCAGTTGGCAAACATATCTACCCATACAAGGAGGTACTGGATGCCCTTCATCTTTGGCATGTGGGCAAAGTCTATGTGCCAGTCCTCTGCTGGATAGAATCCTATCCTTTGTATTTGATGAGGAAGGAGCTGCCTGTTGAGGGGATTGTTTTTAAGACAGACATCACAAGCATTAGCAACCTGTTGGACTCTTTTTAATAAGTTCTCTCCTGAAAACAGTTTCTGGACATAGTAAGTTTTATCCTTACCCAAGTGAAAAGTTTGGTGAAGGATCTTAAGGACTTTTTACTTCCTGGAGGCTGGCAAGTGAAGTTTGCCATTCTCTGAATGTAGTCATCCTAAGGGGTAAAAAATGTACCCCTGAGAAGTGGCCAATTCTATCCCTGTAGGGGTGTACTGAGGCTTAATTTCTCTTAGAGATTCTATCCAGATTAGAAGGGCTTTAAGAGTGTTGAGGCCCTTAGGCTTTCTTGCCAATGACTTGGTTGTCTCATCAGCTAACTTATTTTCCTTTGCTATTTCATCTGTTTCCTTCTGATGTCTCTGAGAATGCATCACTGCTAATTCTCCTGGAAGGAAAATTGAGGATAATAACCTGTTAATTTCCTGATGATATTTTACAGGGGATCCATTAGTAGTAAGAAAGTGTCTTTTCTTTAAAATGGCAGCACGAGCATAAAGAACAAAGAAAGCATACAAGGCGTCAGTGTAAATGTTACCTACCTTTCCCTTGCTTCTTTGAAGTGCTCTTGTAAGAGCTATCAGTTCTGCAAATTGAGCACTTGTTCCTGGAGACAGGAGAGCACTTTCAATAACATCATTTAGAGTGGCTATTGCATATCCTGCCTTATGGAGACCTTGCTCTACAAAGGAACTTCCATCTGTGAAGAGGGTCCCGTCTGGATTTTCTAAGGGAGTTTTCCTGAGATTCTGCCTGGCTGCAGAGGTCTGTACAACAATTTGTTCAAAGTCATGTTCAGGCACCCTAATTTCCTCAGAGAGGAAAGTGACTGGGTTGAGGTGTGAACACAATTGTAATTGAACTGTAGACTCCACTAAAAGTACAGCCTGGTATTTAAGGAGTCAGCTGTCTGTTAGCCAAAGGCTACCTATAGGGGACAGCATTTTGCTACAATACGTGGGGTGTAAACAGTTAAGACGTTTCCCAAAGTTAATTTGCTGGTCTCTGGTACCAGTAGGACCACTGCAGCAATTGCCTAGAGTCATGCTGGCCATCCTTTAGCCACCAAATCAAATTCCTTGCTCAGGTAGCCCTCTGGCTGTTGAACTTGTCCTTGAGCTTGAGTTAAATCTCCCAGGGCCATTCCCATTTTTGCTGATAAAAAAAAGATTGATGGCCTTCCCTACTGGAAGTGTGAGAACTGGTACCTTAAGTGAGGCTTGTTAAAGGCCTCTTGTGCTTCAGTTTCCCAGGTGAGGAAATGAGTTTTAGCCACTTAAGTTTATTTCATGAGGTGATATAAGTGACGAGCTATCTTAAGGTACTCAGGTATACATAGTCTGCAAAATCCTGTAATGCCCCCAAATTCTCTTAATTATATGAAGGTTTTAGGGAGGAGGAAGGAGGAAATGGGCTTAAACCAAGGTACGTGACATGCTTCCAGGATCTTGCATCCCCTCTTCCCTGATTCTTCCCTTTGAGTGGGCTGCCTTGCATGTACAGTGGCCTGCATACAGTGGCCTTGCATGTATAGTGCCTTGCATGTACAGTGACCTGGGAGGAGACACATGTACAATGTGTTTACTGGACTTGTACGCATTCTCACTTGAGGTGTTCTTCCCTTACCAATTGAATGTTCACAGAGAAGGGTCATATTTCATTGAAACTCCAACATTTTGCCTCTAAGTGTGCATGCATGATCCCATTTGCCCAACTCCTGAGATCTTATTGGTAAGCTTCTGATCACCAACTTTAGTGTTTTCTATCTATTGAGAGACTGCCTTTCCCTGGTGCTGGCTACAATCAGCCATTTTACAGGGAGAGCTTAATGACCACATGACCATTACCTGATGATTGCCTTACATTCCTGAGTGGGTCAGGGAGCCCTCCCCGGCCCTGATTATGCCGATTAGCTACCTGCTGTAACACCAATAGTTAGTTTTTAAGCCTTTCCCCTCTCCCTCACCCATCAAGCTGTTCCGAAGCGGAACCTTAAATAATAGTCAGAAGACTCAAAGCATGTTGACAATCAAGATAAATGACCTATTTTCTTAGTACTATGATCCAGTTTTCTAGTTTTAAAAAAATTTGATAAAATACATGTACAATTTTATCATTAAATACTGTATATCATTAAATATACAGTAGCATTAAGTAAATTCACATTTTATGCTACCAATCTGCAGAACTCTTTTCATCTTACAAACTGAAATTTCATTTCCATTAAACAGAAATTATCCAACCTCCTCTTCCTTCGGTCCTTGAAAACTGCCATTTTACTTTCTGTCTTTATCAATTTGACTACTCTGCATACATCACATAACTGCATTCATACAACTTTTTTTGTAAGTGGTTTATTTCACTTAGTATAGTGTCTTCAAATTTTATCCATGTTGTAGCATGTGTCAGAATCTTTTTGTTTTCTGAAGTTGAATATCCCATTGGAATAATATCCAATGGAATAATATTCCATTGCATATATATATATATGTTACCCATCTAGAAAGGGAAGTGAGAAAAAGGAGTTCCTTTTGGATTATTCCATTGGATATTATTCCATTATTCAATATTATATATATATAATTACATATAATATTACATATTATATATTATATATAATATTATGTAATATATATATTACATATTATATATAATATTACGTAATATTATATATATATTACATATTATATATAATATTATATATATTATATATATAATGGAATATATATACATATTATATATAAAATGGAATATTATATATTACATATTATATATAAAATGGAATAGTATATATAATATTACATATTATATAAAATGGAATAGTATATATAATATTACATATTATATAAAATGGAATAGTATATATAATATTACATATTATATATAATGGAATAGTATAATATTACATATTATATATAATGGAATAGTATAATATACATATTATATATAATGGAATAGTATATATATTATATATTTTATATATAATGGAATAGTATATATTACATATTTTATATATAATAGAATATTATATATGTTACATATTTTATATATAATAGAATATTATATATGTTACCTATTTTATATATATAATGGAATATTATATATGTTACCTATTTTATATATATAATGGAATATTATATATATTACCTATTTTATATATATAATGGAATATTATATATTACCTATTTTATATATAATGGAATATTATATATATTACATATTATATATAATGGAATATTATATATATTACATATTATATATAATGGAATATTATATATATTACATATTATATATAATGGAATATTATATATATATTACATATTATATATATAATGGAATATTATATACACACACACACACACACATACACACACACACACAAGGGTTTTTTGAATCCGGCCTAGGTTGATAATACTGGTGAGCATTGTATATGTGTCTTCATCAAACAGGAGGTTTAAAGTTAAAAAGGGTCTCCCATAAGTCATTTCAAATGGACTAAATTTTAGAGTTCTCTTTGGAGCCATTTTCACATGTAAAAGGTTTACAGGTGGGAGAGAAATCCAGGCCTGCGAAGTCTCTTGACAGAGTTTCTCTGATGTCCTTTCAGAAACATGGTTAGCTTTTTTTTAGCTTAACAAGGATTGAGGTGTTCAGGAGTGAAGATAATGTGTAATGTCCAAGGCTGAGGAAATCTGCTAGATCACTTTAGCTGTGAAGGAGGGTATGTTATTGCTGGGTGGACTTTTTGGTAATCCAAACCTTGAAATTATCCCTTTACGTAAGAATGTGGACACTTCTAATTCCTTTTCTGTCCTTGTTGGGAAAGCCTCTATCCATCTGGTGAAAGTGTCTATAAATATTAGCAGATATTTTTGTCCCCTGTATGTTGGCATCCGAGTGAAATCTATTTCCCAGTCTTCCTCAGGGTATGTTCCTCAGTGTTGTATAGGTTTGAGTAGGGGTGAGGAACGCAGTGGCTTCTTGGGTCATTACAAGTACAAAGTTCACACGCCCTGGTGACGCTGTTAACAGTGCTGAAATACTCTATCTTCCCAATACTCCTCTCTTTCTGCATCCCACTACTAGAAACCAGGATTTATGCTCCTTCTTTGAATGGAAAAATTCAATAATGAGGAGGAAAATGTCCTCCAAAGCCAAATTTTAGTCTCAGTGCTGTCCCATCAGCAGGAAAACCTGCATCTAGTCCCTACATTCTTTTAAGGTACCTATTCTGCCTCTAATTAAAACACTATTTAAATAGTAAGGAGATTTTACTTTTGAAAGCTAACCAGAGCCACTGCCTAAGAGTAAATACTTTAGTCCAGACCACAATAGCAGAATATAGAGCTCAACCCAATACACTCCCTGTATTAAGGGGCCTTGCCCAAATACAGCTGCTACATAGTCCATCTATCAGACAGCCACACAGATTACACAAGCCTAGGGAATCAAAGGGAAATTACTAGCAGAGGACTAGAGTTACGTGGGTGAAGGTGACTAATCCCAGTTGCTTCGCTCTTCTGGTTCCATGGCTGAGGGTCATGTCTGCATCCATGGGGAGCACCTTTAATGGATGCTGAGCTCAGGAAACCAAGGAGGGGAAACAGTTGGGGGTATGCCCCTACTGTCTTCCC